CTAAATAAAATAATCAGGGTAAACGCTTTTCTATTACTAAAGTTATTTGCTTGTAGAGATGCTTGTAGAGCCGGCTTCGCAAAAATCATATATCCTTTCACCCCACATCATATCAAATGCTTTATTGATGTTAAGTCCATTTTATAAATAGTGGGAATAAATTCCTAACTCATCTTAGATTATGATTTAAATGCAATATTATATGCGATCAAATGCTTTTTCCAAGGTTTTAAAATGTAAACAGTGCCCAGTTTCAGTGCTCAACAGGTGAAAACGTATGTAGGAATATAGGCAGAAACAATTTGCAGATCAACGAAAACAAGATTGTGTTCAAAGAAAGTGAACTAAATGGAACTATTATTTTTAATCATGTTGAATGCAAAATATAGTCAGACAAGATCGTGTTCAAAGAAAGTGAACTAAATGGAACTATTGTTTTTAATCATGTTGAATGCAAAATATAGTCAGACAGAAGATATTATTTTCAATTAAACAGATAAAATGTTTTTCATTATTATGGACCTCTGTTAAACCCCTCAATGAGAAGTAAACGGTAATGTTGACAGGTCCGCCACGGGATGAAAACGTATGTAGGAATATATGTTTTATCATTTAACCATATCATTAACAATTGGTGGATCAACGAAAAACAAGATGATGTTAATATGGCATACTAATATTAATAACCTTTCCAAAAAAAAAATTCAAAAATATCAAAATCTTATATTTTTTATATTTTTGTGAACCCCTGTTAAACCCCTCAATAATTAATAAATAAGTTTATTGGTCTCTTGAACATCTAATATACATCGAGATAAAATCAATATGTTATACTAGTAAACTTTCCAAAATCCGATTAATGACTAGATAATCTGTTGTAAACTTCAAAACTATCAAAATCTAATATTTTTGTTGACCCCTCCCTGTTAAACCCCTTAATAATAAGTAAACGGTAAAGTCCTCAACAGGTGAAAATGTATGTGATAATATACGTTTTATCAGTCACACATATCATTTAACAATTGGCGGATCAACAAAAACAAGATGATGTTAAAAGAAAGTGAACAAAATGGAACAATTATTTCTAATCATTTTGAATGCAAAATATAATCAGACAGACGATCTTATTTTCAATTAAACAGATAAAATCAATAGGTCATGCTAATAACCTTCTCAAAACCAATTCATGAGTAGATAATTCCATTATCACTAATAGCATAGGGACTGACCTAAACCTAAATTGCCCAATTTATGAGGGAGACAAATTTTGGGCCCTAAATCAGTTTTTAGGTCCCTTTGCTTTTCCACAGAATGTTTTGTGCAACCTATTCGCCGAAAGATGTCAGTCAGATATTGTCATTAAATTCACGCACTTTGTACACCGATTTACCGATTCTTCAAAACTGCACACTAGGCATCGATCAAGCTTCATCAAGCCACGAAAGATCGTTAAGCTAAATAATTACATGTATTTTACAATGTCATCAAAATTGCTTTTTAATCCCTCTTCTTAATTGAAGTATTACTTGTGGCAAATCATAAGAAATGTGCGCCCTTTAGTAATTAAATATTGCACCTTTCAGCTCATTAGCTGTAATTGTTTTAACACTAGCGGAGGTGACTCACATCGACAAAAAATGATGTGCCAAGTTCATCCGTCAGTTTCTGCTACGCTGATTTATGTCAGGGGGTAATGAGACAGAGTTTGTGGAGGCAGTCTAGGGAACTACTCTCGGGGAACAGTGTAACTATATATTGTTGTTCATACGTGTACTTGTTCTATTCTGGTGTCCCCAATCAAGTCATAAAAATGTTGAATTCTAAAAATACTGAAATCGACTTTTCCCATCCGCCATGTGCGATGCGATGCGAAGGTGACGGCCGTTACCTTCGATTGATACTGACCAATGAATCATATAGCAACTTACGAAATGACTTATTTTTGTCTACAAAAACAAGAACTTATTATAGATTAGTTGGAGAACTTTGAAGCTCGTTTTACATGATTTATTACATACTTGGACAATTCGTGTGCAAACAATACGAGGCACTATGACAAATAAATATACATAAATACATTATATAACAGGGGACCTATTCTCAGGGCTGATTATCATTTACTTTTACCGGACCAGGTTACACTTGACATTAGGTCACTTTTTGAAAAGTAGGTCCCTTCTCCATAATCCCCGCCATGATCAATTGTCCTTCCGTTGACATTCTGTTCGTTATTTAGATTATATTCACTATTGCATTACCTAGCATTACCAGGGTCCTTTCTAGACAATTATTGGCTCAAATGTAATTATAATGAATAGTTCATGGCCAGAATAGTTCCAATATATTCCACAATAGTCCCATTAGCAATGTAGGTAAGGGTATATGAGCTAAAATACAATCTTCAATATACACACCTGACCTTTCGGGAACAGGAACATGGACATTACATTTCATATTGACCACCCATGGCCTAGGCATGACTTGAATAAAGCTACACTAGAGAAAAGAGTCTCTGATAGTATATGAATTTGACCTTTAGAAACGTCTTGACCTTTAAACCTTATTTCACCTTGACCTACCATGGCTCCATGTTTCAATCTGTGATATTACTCATTTAATCTGCGTCCTATAGCGGACAGTCGACTACCATGGTGAAGAAGCCTTAATTGGCCATTCGGGTGCTGGACCTAAAATTTAAACTTCAGATCTTCAGCATTTATCTTATACGACGATGATGATGAGGTTTCAATGCGTCAAATTACCGAACGATTTCATAATCTTTGACATTTGGTACTATCACTCCAAGAATGCAAAGCAGGTACACACAATGTGGCTATTGTACAGGTATTAATCAATGTGTTACTAAATTGCAGTTTTCATTAATAATTCAACATTATTGTTCATTTAGAATATATCAAATCAATGTTTTATGATATTTTGCTTAGTTGAATTTGATCTTGTCAGACTATGCAATCGACATCCGGAAAGTCTGTTTATTTACATGTACGAGTTCACAAAGAGGATTGGATCCCAGGCTTCCATCTCGATATTCTGCCATATATGGAGATGTCATAATTACAAAATTTAAATTTAAACAGCCGCCATTTTGTTCACTTCAGAATTTGAATCGCGAGTTTTGGTCTTATTTACAAACAAAAAATCCAGAACACACAAGAAGTGATCGCAGGTATTGGTTCGAATCTTTTGGACAGATGATTGTGATTTTTTTAGTCAGATATAATGCTAGAAAAACAGAAAAACAGCACTTTCAATATTGATATCGATCAAGGTCAAGGTCGAATATCGAGTTGCGTCTCATCCGCAGTCAGGTCCTAAGTGAGATTAACCATTATAATATTCCTTTTTAACCAGTACCTGGGTACCACATATTTTGCAGCATGCTTCTAACTGATAAGTTACCAGAGTGCGTTACCACAAATAAAAAGGATTGGATAGGCCCAAAGCATCATTGGACAGTGGTCACTCTACTTCTACTCCATATGGAATCTGACAAATGCGAAACTTAATTGAAGGATTAGTCCTTCATCAAATACCTCATCTTGTTTGCCATGTCTAATTCCCTGACCGGTTAGAGCATCTATTGAAAGTCCATGGTTAGAGATAGAAGGTTAATATGGTAAGAGTACTGTTGGATGATAGAGTCAAGGAAATTATGTAACATTGCTGTTTTATTTTAGTATTTATTGTACACGCGCTTTTCTGTGAAACAAGACAAACCACTGACCATGTGACGTAATATGTCAAAGTAAATGTCACATGGGTTATTAATAATTAAAGAAGGATGCTAGATTTGATATTTAACAAAATTTGATACCTGCTATAATTAAATGTTTTCAAGGTCAGATATCACAATTTTAAGGTCAAGATCATGGCTTAGGACAGGCATTTTTTTTATTTCACACGCCAGCTGTTTTTAGAAAACTTGCCAACTGTTTGTTTTATACATACTTGTCACTTGTTTGTTTATGTTTTCTCTTGTTAATGTTTTTTGTTAGTTTGTAAGTTTGCCAATTGTTTACTTGTTGTTTTAACTTAAGTTTTCAAGTGACATGTGAAATTGATTTGTCTCCAAAATAATAAGGAAATGTCTAATTACACGGTGGTAATCATGATAATGAACCAATTGGAACAAATGATACGCCTAATAGTGATTATGTAAAACCTAAATAGAGAATTATCTGTAATTCGACTAAATTAGGAATTATTTTCTTTTGAGATTCCCTAGCGCCAAACGTCATTATGTTCATTTACTGGTGCATTCACGATAGTAATCAGCTTTTCAGAATGTTGAACACTTATTTGTGATCAAACTTATGATTTAACTACCCCTATTTACAGGACTTTGTTAATGTCGGAGAATTTTATCGAGAACTACTGTCGCCAATAATCCAATGTAAGTTAATTGTAAAACTGTAATTCAACATAAAATAGGATATAACTTTTCGAGCGAAATAATGCTGAAACCTTTGGAATTTTTAAAAAATCCATTCAACTTTATTGTGACTTTGAATCGGCTTAGCGTATGTGTGTTGATCCAATGGTTTACCGCTAGCAGCCAAAAGTCCTAATTCATAGTACCAACAGTAACTGAAAAGGTTTTTGCGTACAGCCTTAAAAATATTTTGTATTCGATTATTGCCGATTCTGACAGCTGAAATCGGACCTTTCGGTCGAAAGTCACGAAGCTTTTGAAGAAGTATGCTGTAAGGTACACACCGTGGATACATTAGGATTCGAGAACACGGTTCTGAAATCTGATCCCCCAGCCGAAAGGATCGATAGCCGTAGACTCATCAGGGATTTGGAGGAGACAAATTAGGGAGTTCCACCGACTGAGTATCCCCTGGAAAAGCCACTGATCATCGGCTCGTTATCCCAACATTGGCCACTGTTTTCCCTCAGTTTGCCAGGGTGATTAACTCCGCGCCTCTATACTCATCTCTGTCAGAGATACTTTATAAAAGCACCAGATGAGCAAACGCAGATTTGACAATAAGAAACAAATTGATACTTCAGATTGTTTGGGAAACGGTCAGCTGCCAGGGACTTTGTCTTCGCGTTAAGAAGCTATTAGAGAAGGTATGGGAAGTTTTTAACCCGAGGCAAGAATATTTCTAAATTTTAATTCAGTGTGGTTCTATAAAGTTCTCTTAATAAACTTGAAGTACAATTGATCTACACGTGCAGGTTCCATATATCTCTCTCTGAGGATAACTGTATGTGCTATTCTCTATTGGAGGTTCTCCCGGTCTCCATCTGCGCCTGAATGAAAGCAGCGAAGTGAAAACCAATACGGATATAGTGAACTGGTTACCTCTATATCAGCTTCATTATTGATAGGGAGTTTAAGCAGAGAACATGGCACGTTATTCAGCCCGAGAAAAAGATAGGAAATGGCAGTGAATACGATAATTTTGGATTATATTCTGGATTAACAGTTAAGGATAGTACAAGTTAAAGAGAACGTTGACAGATAGAAACAAAGTAGTTAGAAAAACGTCAACTTTGGAGTACAAACTTTCTGACGTTTACAAATAAACAAAAACAACTTGATATATTACAAAGTTAACACGATGGAGTTTAATACAGCAAAACTGCTCATGTTGGTGACATTGGCATATTACGCAGGTAAGGGTGACATTTGAGTTTAATCAACATCTTATAATGTTAATGTTAGGTATCCATTATTTAAGTAAAATCACCTGTGGCTATGTACTAATGAATACTAAGTATGCAAACCTTTTTAGAAATGACAGTTTACCGTTGTATACTGTCACGGAATAAGAAATATGTCGAAACAATATCGGGATATTTGCATGATATTTGCATGATCGAGAAGTATTTTATTTTTGCTGAAGAAACTTTGACATTTGTAGTGTTTTTAATCTTTTAATGAAAAAAATGAGAATGCGGACTACAAAAGGGGTTATGATTAAGTCATTCCATCCTTTTATCGTTCCCCAACCTTTTAGAGGTATATGTCAGAGATCTCATTTTTTCTACGATAGACTTTAAATCTTTGTCTATGGTATATCTTTGTGTTGGGTTTGGCAGAAGGGAGTGAGAGAAGGGGCGAGGAAAGGGCGTCGAGAAGGGCGTGGGAGAAGGACGCCAAGGTTACAGAAGAGTTTGATGCAAGTCTAGCAAAGGACGAGCAATGTAAGGCTGCATATGATCTTTTTCTCACGACTAATGATGCGACTATAAAATCTAGTTCTCATCGTGTATCCTATTGAGCTTTGCCATCGAGGGACACAAGAGATGGTTTCCTTGAGCTGTAATTTTATATATGATTAATTAATCCCATGTAAAACAGAGGCATTTTACATTAGGTGAGGTATTCTATTTCAAATTGATAAAATGATATGCGGATTACACCGGCTTAGCAATAGTGTGGCCAGAAAATAGTGTTATTGTGCAGAAGATATGCTAGCTTTGTGGCAGATATTGACAGGCGAGCTTTAATTAAAACCACCGTCTGAAGAAATCTTCGGCATAGGGTCTGATAAGTACGTGAAGATATAGAAACATTTCCTAGTTTCATCAATAATAGATAGCCACTCGGGAAGGGAGTATAACATGTTAATTATAAGTGAACGTTGTGTATCAAACATAGTTTTTCTTTTCAGCACGACTTCATAATCTCTCATCTCCCTTTTCATATTTGCTCTTACCTGATCCCAAAAAGTGTCAATGAGATTGATAAATTTTGTAAATTCTTTGAAATATTTTTACTGGTTTGTCATGCCTGCAGCTGAACGTTGATCAGAGTATTTAATAGGTTTCAAGCAATGTTGGTCAATCATCAATATTGGTTTTCGTTTACGCTAAACACATCTCGGGACATTGTTTTAGTTTTGATTTGATTACAATTCTGACTTGTGGCAACACAAGCCCAAACTTCTTACGCATTGGCATTGTTTCAGGCAAAGATAAGCTCTCCTAATATTGCTAGAAACGGCTAGGTCGTTAGGAATGTGTCTGTCAGAAAAGATCTCCAATCCAATATTTTGACATAGTTGATGGGACAGTGACAGGTCTCTCAGTAGTAAGTAAATCAAAACAAATTGTGAACATAGCAAATGTTGCTCTCGTTGGCTCTGTTGATGTATATTGTTCTCAGATGTAAACTGAAGGTGGAAGCTTTGATGTGTCTGGACAGTGGATACTAGTATCCTGTAGAATACCTCTTTCATTCTTTGTAAGAGAGCTTTAACAATAATTTCTACAAGAGTCTTGACCCTTGGGTATCTGAAGCCGCCAAAAGCACAAATAAATTTTCTACTTCGGGTATGATAACAGAGTTTATACTAAGTTATATTAAAAAGGATTAGCCGAGCCTTTTTATTTCTAATATGATAATTTACTGCTTTTCAATATTACATTCATTAAATTTATCTGCCGGGAACTAATGTCCTGGGTCTGGTAAGGTCATCGGGACCGTCTCCCCATAACTGCCAGAACTATCAAAATTAAAGATAACACATAGTTTAATGCATTCCTAATCTTGATAGCATGATAACCTTCAACATCATAAAGAAAGCGTGCTGTTTCCTCCCATCCTTTGGAAATTAGGCGATAAATACCTATCTGAAATACTTTCAGAGATTGGCTCTTTGTAATTGCGTGGTGATAATTTGTGTGATCGGACCACATGAAAGTAGCACACTTTCATCATGGAATCTACTATTTTTACAGATGGTCTAATTGGTGTTCTGAAAAACCCAGAAGTAACATATAATCAGCTAACTGGAAACATGCAACTTCCCCATGGTGTTCCTAATTATCAATCAAACAAAATTTCTTCTTAACTTCTCGGAGATTCATTTAGAATTTCCGCTATTCACAATATCTTGACCTTTTGTGACACAGAAATTTTCTACGATATTCTGGAACAGTTGATTTGCTTATGCTGCCAAATTTTTGCTTTCGTGTTAGTAGTCCAAAACTCATCAAATGGTCAGTTGTTTAATTTGTTGTAGTCAAATTAACCAAATGTTGATTTCTGTGTGAGGTACCCCGCCGGGGGACTGCATGGTCACGTCATATCCCAGAGAGCAGTTCATCAAGTGGCCACCAGCAATGTCCACAAGAGACAAGTTGACCACAGACTACACTAGCACGCTATATCTTGATAAATAATTAATTACTACAATTCGCTTAAAAGAAAAACACAATTTGCAACTTAAGTTCTGTATGTCGGCATAATGGAATAATTAGGTTTTTGTTTTCTTCACCATTATTATCTTTAAATGTTTCATTATCAGTTACACCTTGCGTGATACCTTGAAGTGGAGAGTTATCTTGAAATGTTTCGGTAATTAGTAAAAACAAGTAGCCTTTTTGTGGAGACAAGTATCTTGTCAGTTTCACCAGCTTTAATCTTTGGTCTGTTTTGTCAGGTTCTTCATCAACAGTTTACTTCAGTTAAATCGTTAACGCTCTGTCTTTACTGTCTGACCCCCTCCCATCTTATTTCCTCTGGCGAATATACAATTAGTTCGGGAATTTATGTAATAGGTGCAACGTGACTTTTCAAAGGGAGTGAGAGCTCAGTAAATATTATATATTAGGCCTATGTCATCTTTTCTCAGCAGTGTTTTGCATTTTGGTTTGTTTAACTTTATTAAATCCCAAGCATTAAAAATGGACCCTACAAGCTTGTCAAATATGATGCGAAACAAATTGGAAGGGGAATTTGCGGCAAATACGTTCCAGTTTATTTAATATGAGAAAAAGTGATTATGTAACGTTTCATGGCAGAAATCGATGATAATTCGTACAACTTACAACACAATGTTAAAATACAGAATAACGTATGAGTAGATGCATAGTAGAGTATTTGATACAATCATTCAGGGAAATCAAAAACATTGACATATAAAACAATAATAGTAGAAATTGGAATTAGAATTCAGAGACAATACTCGATATCCGATTATTTATTCCCTAAAAGCGCAACGTTCATCACTATTCTGACTGGGCTGGTCGTTAATGACAAGTCAAATCCAATCTACCACAGACATAAATCAACGGAGCCTGAAGTCCAATTATTATGGAATCAAAATGGCATTTTCTCAATCAACCCTCATCACACGAGCATCTCTGTTTTCCTGAATCACCTTCGTTTGCTCCCAGACATCATTCATAGCTCCTTCGTTCCTAACCTTGGATTCAACCCCGCGTTTGGGGAATTTAAGGGGAACCCCACCAGTGTTATTGTGTACGCATCGAGTGTCAGAGCAAAGTAATTAGATAAAGCTCTCTTTTAAGCAACATTATTTAACCATTCGAAGGGATTTCGTCTACAAATTGCCCAGAAAACGTTAATATCAGATTTTCAAAATAGCATTTCTTATATAATCATTCATGATATTTCAATAGCCTTATACTCCCTGACCGGTGGCAGGTGACGGGCTCAGTAAAAACTCATTGTGTTTCTTCAATCATTTCTGTACTATTCAAAACCATATTGTTGAAGTTATAATGAAATTTTCCACCCGAGATGTAATAACAGTGGTCAGGGTCCATAAATTCAAAATGGTTTATTTAATAGATCCAAGTGACCGATAACTTGCTAGACATGATCATAATGATCATTCATGATTGTCTAGATAAACGGAACACGGCACACACGAATATAACCACCGTTTCCAAAAGTTTTAATTTTGCTACTTAAAAGAGAGCTTCGTCTACACTTACTGTACTAGGCTCACTGGCGGATTAGGGGGGGGGGCCTGGGGGCCCGGGCCCCCCCCCCTTGGGTGGGCCCAGAAAAAAAAAATTGGCCCCAAAAAAATTTTGGGCCAAAAAAGGCCTTAAGGCCCCAAAAAAACGGCCTTTTTGGTCATTACTGGGCCTTTTAAGGCCTTATTTTTTAAATTCAGGCCAAATTTTGAAGAAAATGGGCCTCAAAATTCCAAAATGTTGGCCCACTTTTGCGTTTTAAGGGCCCAAAATTTTTTTCCGCGCAAGCGCAGACTTTTTATTCTCTGACCTGAAATTTGCCCCCCCCCCTTGTTGGTTCCCAGATCCGCCCCTGAGGCTCCATTGCTCAAGGTAAAAGATGACCAATCTGCAGATCTCAATCTGCGATAGCTCTAACAACATTCACAGGGAGTATGACACAACGCGATGACACTCTGACATTAAACAGATGCCGCTTGAGCATCCCCGCTCAATGAATATCAATTAAAAATTCATCTAGTGTGACATAGCGGAATAACAATCAGTTTAGGCAGCCGGGTCAATTCTCCGGGGGTATAATGTATTATCCCAGAACAAGTCTATATTGCTTGATAATGCAATAAGCACTGGTTTTGCATCTGCTTTAGGTAAACTGATTGACCTAAAATAACAGTTGATTTTACTCATAAGTGGTTCAATGAAGCGAGGGACCACCGATGAATCGCTAATGTATACAAACATGTATGCAATCAAATGTTATGTCATTTTAAATAAAAGGTATATTACTCATAATGTACCTGCGGACAACTGATGTTTTGAGTAAACAAATGAGCAATTTACAAAACAATCTGTCAAGTTTTTTGCATCAATGCCGTAACCCGTTCCTTCTCGGGTTAGAAAGAGAAAATAAGGAGAACGCCTTCTTAAAAAGGAACAACTTA